TTTATTATGATATTACTATAAAAAATAATATATTTTAAACTATTTATCTATTAAACCTTATTACTCGTACAAAAAAATGATATATACATTACAAGGAATTAAACATTTCATGTGACTCTTTTATTAAATAGGCCTAATTTATTTCTTGATATAATTAAATACTTTGATATATATTTTCTTCTTGCATTTAAATTTATGCGTTTAATGTAATAAATGAACTTAAAAAACAATTTTAAGAAAATTTCAAAATTTGAATAATAAAAAAAATAATGTACATTTATGCTGTAAAATTTTTCATTGAAATGCAAGAAGACATTTAATAATTAATGTTTTCTTAATAGTTAAAAAAAGGTTTTAATAGATATAAATAGTTTAAAATTTATTATTTTTTACAGTAATATCATAATAATAAAATAAAAATGATAATAAAAAAAAAGACATACTCCAGGGATCGAACTTTAATTTTTTTTGACCAATCGGGGCTCTATGGAGTAAAATGCCGAAACACGTGTAAATTTTTTTGTCTCAAAGTATCACCTCAATTTTTTTCAAACAAATCCGTGATATACTTTCTTGAGCGTCCCCTTGTAAGTGAACGCGATTTACAACAGATACAGTACGTTTTCAACAGATTACTTATAGAGAATTAATAATATCAAAATTGGCGCGGGTGTCCGATATAGTACAATTAATCCCGAGTATTTTAAAAAAGAAAAACATTAAAATCGGTTAAGAACTCAGCCGTCGAATAATTTCCTGCACAAGAAACCTGCGCTTGACGATCGTGCGCCGGTCCGCCGGAGGGCTAGCCGGGTACGGAGGCCGGCGTCACGCAGGAGGAGTTGTGCATGGTGGCACGTAGACTCCGGGGCCGCGCGAAAGCGCCGGGACCCGATGGGGTCCCCGGCCGCGTCTGGGCCGTCGCGTTGGAGGCGCTGGGGTGGAGGCTGTGTAAGTACTTCAGCCTCTGCTTCAGCGAGGGCCGATTCCCAACGGCATGGAAGGTGGCCCACATGGTCCTCCTTCGGAAGGAGGGCCGTCCCGTGGAGAGTCCATCGGCCTATCGGCCGATATGCTTGTTGAACGACGTGGCCAAGCTGTTTGAGAGAATAATAGCGTGCCACGCCGTTCGACACCTGTCGCGGACTGGCCCGGACTTGTCGCCGGGCAAGTACGGCTTCCGGGAGGGGCGTTCGATCGATGATGCGTCGCGTCAGGTCCGCTGCCTCGTGGAGGCCGTGGTAATCGAGGGGGGTGTGGCTTTGGCGGTGTCCCTGGACATTGTCAACGCCTTTAACACCCTCCCGTGGGGTGTGGTGGTGCGGGCGCTCGAAGAGCATCGTGCCGCCGTACCTCACTGCAATGATCGCGGATTACTTCCGCGATAGGGCGCCGGAGTTCACTGTTAAGGGTGGACTCCGGTGCAGCAGAGCGGTGTCGTGCGGTGTTCCGCAGGGGTCGGTCCTGGGACCACTCCTGTGGAACGTAGGGTACGACGCCGTACTCCGCGGGGCGTTGCCCCTCGGCTGCCACCTGGTGTGCTACGCCGATGACATACTGGTGGTGACCGGGGGCGACAGTTGGGAGTTGGCCCGGAGGAGGGCCGACCTGACGGTGGCCGGGGTGATTCGGGCAATTCATGGACTGGGGTTGGAGGTGGCGCCCCAGAAAACAGAGGCTATCTTTTTTCACGATGGCTCTCTGGGGGTGCCTCCTCCGACGCGTATCACCGTGGGAGACACGGCCGTCGGGGTTGGGACCGAGATGAAGTATCTCGGTCTCGTCCTCGACGGCCGTTGGGGCTTTGTCGAGCATTTTGCTCGACTTGGCCCCAAGTTGGGGAGACAAACGGACGCGCTGGTTGGGATTATGCCCAACCTGAACGGCCCGAACAGCTCGTTGCGGAAGCTGTACGCGTACGCCGTCCTCGCAGGGCTCCTCTATGGGGCCCCCCTGTGGGCGGACGTAGCGGCGCACAGCCGCCGCATCATTGGGATGATGCACAGGGTGCAGCGGCGGCTGTGCGTCCGCGTCGTCCGCGGGTACAGGACGGTGTTGTTCGCGGCCGCCACACTATTGGCGGGGCTTCCGCCGGCTGAGCTTCTCGCCGCGGGCAGGGCAGAGGTGCATCGCGGCAGGTCTGCAGCTCGGCACGAGGGGAGGCTGCTGCCTCCTCGCCTGGCCGCGGCGGAGAGGAATATCGTGCGGGACGGTATCTTCGAGGAGTGGAAGACGAGTCTCCTCCAGGATCCCGTCCTTAGCACGAAGAGGGTCGTTCAGTCGGTCGGCCCGCTCGCACAAGAGTGGGCTGACCGTCGGTACGGACGTTTGTCCTTTAGGATGACGCAGGTGCTCACCGGACGTGTCCGGACGGGCGCTTCGGTGAGTACCTGTGTCGAATTGGGAAGGTGCCCGAGCCCCGGTGTCACCACTGCAGGTCGGCAGAGGACACCGCGCAGCACACTCTGCAGTTTTGTCCTGCGTGGGCGGAGCAGCGCGGTGTCCTCGTAGGAAAGGTGGGGGAGGACTTGGCGCTCCCTAGCGTGGTGCGTGTCATGCTGGGGAGCGCCGAGTGTTGGGACGCGGTCTCCTCCTTCTGCGGGCAGGTGATGCTCGCGAAGGAGGGGGCCGAGCGCGTCCGCGAAGGGATCATCCCTCGTCCCCGTGCGGGGGATGGGGATGCTCCCGCGGGGGGCGCTGATCCTGGTGGTGGTCGGGGTCGGCGCCCTCGGAGAGGGAGAGGGAGGACCGGGGGTCGCGCGGCCGGCAGAGGTAAGGACCGGCCGCGGGGGATGCGTAGTACGCGTTCCCTGCCGGCCGCGCGACCCCTCGGACGAGGAAGCGAGGGAGTCGGGAGCGGGGCGGGAACCCTGCTCTCGATTAATACTCCCTCTCTTTCGGAGGTAGTCGAGCGAGGGATTGGTGTTTCCCCTCGCTCGGCCAGAGAGGTTAGGTCTTCCTCCGACAGGACGAAAGAAGGCCTATAGGTAGTGGCGGCGGCGAGAAGCCGTCGGGCCAGGGGGCGTCCTGGAAGAATGCTTCACGCGTGCCCAGGGCGTCCCCATGAATGGCCTGAGGAAGGACACTGGCAGGAGTTTTAGTGGGTATTCCCGGCGCTCGCGCGTCGGGCGAGTCCCACACTGCCCGGCTGGGTTTCTCGGCCTGGTCGGGCGCGCGTAAATGCATTTCTCCTGCCTTACAAAAAAAAAAGTAATATAATATAATATAATATAATAATAATATTTCGCAGGGCCGGGGACCTCCTGGGGCCATTCCTGACGTCCTCTGGGCGTTAGGAGGCTCCGGGAGCTCTCCTCGGTTGGGTATGACGAACCCACGAATCCGATGTCACCGCAATTCGTGTTCTGTACCCCGCTGGGGGTCGCCCGCCTCGCCGGCCGTACGGTGGCACCCTTGGGTGTTGACGTTCGGTGGGCGGGGCGGGCGGCCCTCTATGGGAACACGAATCGGGGGCCCGGGAGGACTCGCCTTTAGGTGAGGAATCTCGGGCTGCGAGCCGGACCTCTATAAAAGTCCCCCTGCACGTCGGCTATGGTGCGCGACCGGCGGGCAGTACGAGGTGGGGGTGATCACCTCAATAGCGGTTCAGAAGGAAAACTGTAAACCCGGCCTGGGGGCTTGTAAAATACCCAACGGACGGGCTTCATAATGGAAAATGATATTGATACGACGTTTACCGCCGCAGAGGGCTCGGATCCCTCAGCGGCCGGCGTGGGGGGGGGGCGCACTTCAGGGCCCCCTCATGTCGTCACCCTGCGGCTGGAGGACCCCCTCCCCGGTGTGCCCCGCAGGCACCGGGGGTTTCAGGGATGCGTCTGCGATGACATGGCTGCCGGAGCTTTCTGCTCCGTTTCTGGTGCTCCGTTTGAGGGGTGGAGGCGACGAGCCTCCCTCTTGTTCGGAGTTCGGCGGAGAGAGCGATCTGGCGTGGTGTACGAAACGGTGAAATCTTAGGGCGCCTGGTCCTGCGACCTTGGCGGTCTTGAGGAAAAACCGAGTTCCTGATCCGTCGTGGACCTTGGTTTGGAGAGAGATGCGTCATCCTGGCATCATCACCGATGTCTACGATGATCTTATCGGCAGCAAGAGGGACGAGTTTCTGGTTGAGGGTGAGCTCGAGGGATTTCCCTTTTGCGAGCCCCACGCTAGTTACCGTTTTTCCGATGGTGCATTTGTTCCCTTCTATGCGAAGGATGCAGAGGATCCGATCGCCTTGCGTAGGCTGATGGACTCCGGGGTCTCGAAGTTTGGCTCCGTTTTGGTGATGTCGGGTTTCGACTTCGACACTATTCGGGACACTGTTCTTCCTTCTCAGGAGGTGAGAGTGGAGGAAGCGCCCACTACGTCCCCTTTGCGGATGACGGGTGGAGTGGACTCGAATGGCGAGGTGGCTGCTTAGGCCCATCGGGATGCTAATCCCGAGGTGGACTTCGATGCGTCCCAGGCGTTGGTCGGCGGGACGGGGCTTGTCGGCTCGCCCATAGTATTGACTTCTTCCTCCGATGGGGAGGAGGGCGATGCGGACATGGAGATCGAGGCTGCTGCGGTGACGTCCCCTCGGACACCTCTGTCGGAGCCCGTGGCGGGTCCCTCCAATGCGCCGCCTCCCCGTTCCCCTGGGGGGGGATCTGGTGTGCCTTCTCTCCGTTCTTTCGGGAGAAAGTCGGATTTGTCCCTTCAGGTCCCCGTCCATCGATTCGGACGCCTCTATCACCACTCGCGTCAGGGGTTTGCCTATGGAATCCTTCAGGGCAAGGCGCGTTCTTCGGAGGATAGCGTCGAGTGACGAGGGTGGCGACGATGGTGCTGTGCCCTTGCGAAGGGTGCACATTCCCACCACGTTCTTTACCCCGGGTCAAAGGAAGGAAGTGGATCTCAAGACCGCTGAAATGGGTAGGGCGTCGACCCTCGAGGTCGCCAGTATGGCGGATAACCTCTTGGGGGGACGCAGAGTCCGCGCGTGCTCGTGCTGGGGGACTTCAAGGGTCGATCAGCGGTCGCTTGAAGATGGCCATCCATCTGGCCAGAGAGGCGACGCTGTTGCTTGCCAACAGGGCAATGGGGACCAACGAGTCCATTGCTTTCGACGTGGATAGGGCTGCCGCTCTCCTGGAAAAAAACAGGAGATTGAACGACAAGATGCGTCTTATGAGATCCGATCTTGAGTTGTCCCGGAGTGTCATCCGGAGATTCGAGAGGGGGAGAGAGATGGACGTGCCGATGGCCAGCGTGGATACGGCTGCCGCCGTGGCTCGGTTGGGAGTGGACGAGTGTGCGGATGCGCCGATGGAGGCGTCGGTTCCGTCCGCCTCGAACGTGGGGCGGGTTCCGTCGGTCTTTTTTTTTTTGTCTCCGCGGGTGATCCCCATGTTCTGGGCGCTCTCGCGGAGATAAACGCGACCCTCGATGGTCTCGACCGCCGGTTGGCCCGGCTGGAGGTGGTCCGGCCGGCTGCGGGGGCTGGGGGTTCTGTCCCCCAGTCTTCCGAGGCCGGTGGGGCTGCCTCTTGCAAGGGGCCGAATCGGGCGGCGCGAAGACGGGCGGCCAGAGAGCGGCGGCTCCTATCGTCGTCCTCTCGGGCTCCGGTTTCCTCTCCCGCGGTTTCGGCTCCGTCCGGCGGCGGGGGTGGTCCTGGTAGTGGTTCTGCGACTCGGGGGGCTCGTCCCGAGGGATCGTGGGGTGGTCGTGCGGCTGCGGGGGCTTTGGCCTCTGCTGCTGGGGCCACGGACCTGACTGTACTGGGGCGGACTCCGGGTGTCTCGTCTTCCGTGACGGACAGGGTGACGGATGGCGACGGGTTCACCGAGGTCGTCCGCAGGAAAGGGAGGAAGAAGAAGGTGAAGGAGAAGGTTGTGTCTGGCGGGGGGAGGTCTGGTGCCCCCTCCGTGGGGACCCCTCTAGAGGGCCGGTCTTTTGCGGACATGGCGGCGCAGGCGGCTCGTCGTGTGGTTGCGTCGGGGCAGTCTCGGGGGATCCAGGCTGGAGGTGTCTCGGGCCCGTCCTCTTTGGGTGGTCCTGTTTCCGTGGGAGCGGGAAGTGCGAGGAAGCCGGTGGGGAGGAGTGCTCCGCGCAGGATTCGCTCGCGCTCCGCTGCGGTGTTGGTTGTGGTGTCCGGTGAAGAACTGGGTTACGCGGACGTGATGAAGCGGGCCAGGGCCCAGATCGACCTGGGGACCCTTGGCATTAGCGACATCCGTCCTAAGCGAGCGGTTAGTGGCGGACTGCTGCTTGAGATCCCGGGGCAGGGCCGGGACTTGGCGGCGGACAGGCTACTGGATAGGTTGGAGGAAACATTCAGAGGCGAGGACCGGGTGAGATTCTCGAGACCTTGTAAGTCTCTGGAGCTTCGACTGTCAGGTTTCGATGACTCGATCACGCAGGCGGAGGTACGTACTGCTGTAGTTCTCGAGGGGCTCTGCTCATCGGAGCTGGTACAGATAGGAAGGGTCTCCTTTTCGAGACGGGGGATGGGCTCAATCTGGGTCAAGTGCCCCGTCGACGTGGGCAGAGCGCTGGCCAAGGCCGGTCGCATCAAGTTAGGGTGGACCATGGCGAGGATAGAGGTGCTGGAGAGTCCCCTTCTCCGGTGCTTCCGCTGTCTCGCACGCGGTCATGTGCAGCAGACCTGTCCGTCCGCTACGGACAGGAGCCTCTGCTGCTTCAACTGCGGGGAGCCAGACAATCGGCGTGAGAGGTGCGAGAAGAGGCCTCGGTGTCCGTTGTGTGTGGTGCGGGGCCTTCCTCATTCACATAGACCAGGGTCTATGGAGTGTAGGGTGATTCCCCCTGCTCCCACGAGTAGTAACAGGAGGGTGAATCGCGCTGGGAGTGGTCCTAGCGGCGTGTTGGAGGAGAGCGATGGGGACCGGGACACCGTGAGGATGTCCCAGGTTCCTTTATCCTCGGAATCGTCACCGGAGGGGCCGGTGACGAAGAGGTCCAAGTCGGGGACCAAGTCTGTCCGGGATTCCCCGGCGCTTCAGCTGAGGGTTATCCTGGAGGACGTCGTCGGTGCTCAGAGCGTCCCTCTGCCGAAGAGGGTGCCCAGGCAGCGTCCCCCTCTATTGGAGGTCCCCTCTCGAGATGAGGGGGTCCCGGCGGAGGCCCCGTCTCTGTCGATGGAGGTCGACTCGGTCGGCTGCCCGTCGGAGAAACGTGGGCCTCGGGTCGTCCCCACCAAGGGGGACAACGGTGGGCCCAGGGATGAGGTCGGGGGCTAACCTCCTTCGTCGTGCGCTCAAGGGACGGGGTGCGGCTTAGCCGGACCTAGGCAGTGGAGAGGTCGGGATGTTCTGTAGACTAGTGACCCGATCTCTCCTTTATGCCGGGAATGATGGCGGAGGGGTTTTAGTTGGTAGGCGCCGTGTCGGTTAGGTTTCGCCTGCCGGCCGGAGAATCCAACATTATCCGGGGGTGGTTCCCCCGAGTGTCTTTGGAAGATTTCCCCTTCGATACCAAAAAAAAAATATATATATATATAATAATAATATAATGATATAACATAATAATATAATAATAATATAATATAATAATAATATAATATAATAATAATATAATAATAATAATAATAATAATAATAATAATACGATAATAATAATAATAAAATAATGAAGTCCGTAATTTCTGAAAAATAAACAAAAGACATACATTAATACGCGGTATAGATGGTTTATCAAATATTAGTATGAATATCAAATTAAATGTACTTACAATTCCAATTCTCCGGCTCAGGGTCCACCTCATGTTCGACCTACCCGAATAGCTCGGGGAGGGAGGTGTATATTATGCTCCCACATATTAAGCCGCTCGTCCTCCCTGTAGCACCGACGCAACATTCTGATGTAGCGGCGGCGCTGATAGCTGAGATATCGACGTACTTTCACTGCTTCTCCCCAGAGAATGGAATCGTACCGATACGACTCGCTGACCGAAAGAAGAGCAAACACGTAAACCTCTTGTACGTGGAGGATAACATCGAGGGACATTTCGCGCTGATTAAAGACCTGTCACGCCTTATGAGATCGCAAGTCACCAGATCCAAGAATAAGAAATACTTCTGCGATAGGTATGTATAATAATAATAATAATAATAATAATAATAATAATAATAATAATAATAATAATAACAATAATAATAATAACAGTAATACTAACAATTTTTTTTTTCCAGATGCTTGCACTACTTTAGCTCGAGTGCCAAATTGGAGACCCACAGCGTCGACTGCGGAAAACTCAACGATTGTGCGATAAAGCTACCGAGCGAGGACGACAAGTAGCTCGAGTTCAAGAACCATTACAGGAAGGAGCGCGTCCCGTTCGTAGTCTACGCCGATTTGGAGTGTGCATTGGAGAAGATGGATAAGGATCCGACATCATCCACGTACACATACCAACATCACAACGTCTTCAGTATCGGGTATTACGTTCATTGCTTCTATGATAGCTCACTGTCAGGCTATCGATTTCACCGCGATAATAATTGTATATCATGGTTCGCGGACGAATTGAAAAATTTAGCACATAGTATATAGTCAATAATTTCGGCTAACGTCCCTATGGCAGATTTCACGCGAGATGATTGGCGAAAATTTAATAGCGCCACGCACAGTCATGTATGCGAGAAAACGTTCGCGAAAAATGATATCCGGGCACGCGATCACTGCCATCTCACCGGGCGATACAGAGGTCCAGCGCATTCAAATTGTAATTTAAATTATAAGGATTCGCGTTGCATACCCGTAGTCTTTCACAATTTAACCGGTTACGACGCTCATTTCATTATCAAAGAAATTGCAACCGCGTACAACGGAAATATAGATTTATTACCAATAACTAAAGAAAAATATGTTTCATTCACTAAACACGTTGATGATACTATAGATGATAAAAAAAATTGCATACAATTACGTTTCATAGATTTATACAGATTTCTCGATTCTAGTTTAGACAAATTAGCATCTTTTCTTAGCAAAGATAAACTGCGACGCGAATTTTCTTATTTATCGGAAGAAAATTTTAATCTTTTAACTCGAAAAGGTGTCTTTCCGTACGAGTACATTGATTGCAGTAAAAAATTGAATGAATCGTGCTTGCCACCTCGCGAGTCGTTCTATAGTTTATTGACAAACGACACGGTATTCGAGAGCGATTACGCGCATGCTGTCAACGTGTGGCAGCGGTTCTCCATCCAAACGCTCGGTGAATATAGCGACCTATATCTAAAAACAGATGTATCGTTGTTGGCCGACGTCTTTGAAAATTTTCGCGACAGTTGCGTAACGAGTTACGGGCTCGACCCCGCGTACTATTACACCTTGCCTGGCTTCACATGGGATGCCATGTTGAAGCATACAGGTGTAAAATTTGAATTGCTTACAGACATTGACATGGTCATGTTTGTCGAGCGCGGTATACGCGGTGGTCTGAGACAGTGCTCAAACAGGTACGCGCGAGCCAACAACAAATACATGCCGTCGTACGACCCATCAAAACAGTCATCATATTTAATGTATTACAATATCAACAACCTCTATGGCTGGGTTGTCAACCATTGCCATACGCTGATTTTCGATGGGTCGACGACGTGCAAAATTTCGACTTTTCGACCATCGCGCTATATTCACCTACAGGCTATATTCTCGAGGTTGACATTGAGTACCCGCAACATTTCCACGACGCACACACTGACCTACCGTTCTGTCCAACGCGAGAGAAACCGCCCGGCAAGCGCGATGAGAAGCTCATCGCGACGTTATGCGATAAGCAGCGTTACGTGATTCATTATCGCAACCTGCAGCAGTGTACTCATCACGGCCTCCGTATCGCAAAGATTCACCGTATATTGCAATTAACGCAATCTCCATGGCTTCGCGACTATATAGAACAAAACACAAAATTTAGAACATTGGTAAAGAATGATTTTGAGAAAAACTTATACAAACTTATGAATAACGCGGTATTTGGCAAAATCATGGAGACTGTGCGTGATCGCGTCGATGTAAAATTGTTAACAAAATGGGAAGGCAGATAAGGTGCTGAAGCAATGATAAATGCAAAATTATGTATACCGATACTGATAGCCTCATATACCATGTAGAGTGTGACGACGTATATGAAATTATAAAACGCGATATCGATAGATTTGACACGAGCGATTACTCTCTCGACAATCCATATCGTATTCCACTCGCGAATAAAAAGTTCCACGTCTTATGAAAGACGAGAACAACGGTGCCATCATGACTGAATTCGTCTGGCTTAAAGCGAAAATGTACGCTTTACGTGTGCAAGGAAGGGATACGAAAAAGGTAAAGGGTGTCAAAAGTAACGTTGTGGCAAGATCCATAACTTTTGATGATTACACGCGATGCTTAAGCGATGCTATTGAAATGACGCGCAGACAATCGTGCATCAGATCGAAATTGCACGAGGTGTATACGATAACGGAAACAAAAATCGCTCTGAGTCCACACGATGATAAGCGGTATATCGTATCAGGTTCTACCGACACGCTCCCATGGGGACATTCCCGTTGTAAATAAAACATATCTTGTATGAAAAATAATATTTAATATGTATGACATGTATAAAATGTATAATATATGGGTCATTCCATGCCAAGTGGGCCACTCAAAACTTTTGGATTTTTTATATTTGGCTGAAATTTTGATATATTATTATACCCATCGCAAGAAGCTACCATAATTTTTTTCAAATTTTTTTATCAACCTAGTCATGAGATATGATTTTTTTTCAAAATTCGCAATTGTCAAATGCCTATAACTTTGCGAAAAATAATGCAAACAAAACGTTTTTTTTTTTTAATTGTGTGTCTTTTTCTCTAGTTTTCAAAAAAAATATCAAGAAAAGTTTAAAAATTGTTTTTAAATTTTTTTTGTAATTTAATATAAAAAATTATTAATT